CCGGATACCCACCATACACCTTGTGGTTTGGACGACATTGTCCGCTTCCCATAGAGTTTCACGTCGACAGTTGGACAACCGTCGACTGGGCAGAAGAGATTTCCAGAGAGGAACTCTTAGCTGCTCGAACAAGACAGATAGCCTACGGGTTGGAAGACAACCTTATGGAAGCAGTCGATCGTCTGGCAGTGGAAAGGGACAAGGGTAAAGAGAGATGGGATAGGAACGTGCGGATCAGGAAGGAGAGGCTGAGTGTAGGAGACATGGTCCTTCTCTACGATGCAGCGCTGGAAAGAACCTAGACCGGAAAGCTTGCCAATAGATGGATGAGACCTTACAAAGTGGTTGAGGCACTTGACTGGGGTGCATATATGATAGCGGAACTAGACGGATCTAAGTGGAAGGACCCAGTGGCGGGGGCTAGGTTAAAGCTGTTTAGGTCCAGGCCCGCGCCCGCTTTATCGCTAACGAGCCCGAAAGAGAAAGGGAAAGCCATGATGGAGGATGGAGCCCCCTTGAGGCGATTCGAGGCAGGGGAGAGTTCCAAAAAAATGAAAAGAATAGAGAAGAGAAAGGTCAAAGGGTTAGCTTTAGGAAGAGAGAAGAGATGTTTATTCGTGCTCAAGCGAGCTAGACGAAGAGTTCGCGTTAGACGTACTGGCAGGTCAACACCCTTCTCGGGGCAAGGACAGAAGAAACAGAAGATCATGTCGGGACGAAAAACCAGAAGAAACAGGAGAGTCAAGAAGCATCTTCGTAGCCCCAGGACTCGTAACAAACTTAAACATAAGACAATTGAGCGCTGACATGGGAGTCCCTTACGGGCCATCACCCTGAAGCTCGTCCGCTTCGTCTGACGTAAGATGCTAGGGCTCGACGGGGGCGTCGAGAAGTGGTCCGGGCTAACTGTCAGGCGGCCGCAAGCAGTGCGCCGCCTGAAAGCAACGGTTTTATGACTTAGGCACGAACACGAGTCTGAGTTTTGACGGTACTCTGGTTAGACCATGCGGCGGAGATTAGGGGACCTCGGGGCGCCCTTGATTTTGGGCGCGCTGGAACTTACGGG